CATCTCCCTCTCTTTGCTATTTCCCTGTTCTTCTCTATTCTTTTTCTTGCCCCACAAAGTTACACCATCACGAGCACCCTCCCATATACATTTTTTTTTAATTTCTTCAGCTTGATATTTCTAGACACACATATCATTTCTGAAAACATAATATGTAACCCTTGACTTGACAAACAGTTTCTAGAGATATAGATCTGCATTCCCCTCCTATGTAGACTTACCTGGTTTCGTGCCATGCTCCATCCCCTGATGATCCTCATACGAATCCAGGATATTATATTAGGTTTTCAGATCAGATAGACATCTATGCCCTTATGCAGAGCCCTACACCCAAACCGTGGTTTGGAATAGCCCTTCCTCTAGTTTGGATGTAATCTCTTGCACTCTACATCCTCTCTTCACATTATGCATTGATTGAGTGTTTCGCACTAATTGTATAGCCTAAAAACTTGTGTCTTTTTACATGCCTTGACCATTGTGATCTATATGTTATCCCCCTTATGCTATTCTTTTGACTTGCATTGCTTTCTTGTTTCTAATAAACGTTATGGAAAAAAAAAACTCTGTGCAGGCCAGTCAAGTTCCTCCACCCCAAACTCACTCATTCATGTCTTTATGAACCTTGCTTTGTGCACTGGTGCGCAGTCATGTTGGAACTGGAACATCCTCAAACTGTTCCCACAAAGTTTGGAGCATGAAATTGTCCAATATGTCTTGGTATGCTGGCGTCTTAAGAGTTCCCTTCACTGGAGTTAAGGGGCCTACCCCTGAAAAACAACCCCACACCATAAAGGCCTCTCCACCGAACTTTACATTTGGCACAATGCAGTCAGGTAAGTACTGTTCTCCTGGCAACCGCCAAACCCAGACATGTCCATCGGATTGCCAAACAGAGGAGCATTTGTCAGCATGCACTGACCTCGCTCTGTCACTTTACGTGGCCTACCACTTCGTGGCTGAATTTCTGTTGTTCCCAGTTGCTTCCACTTTGTTATAATACAAATAACAGTTGACCGTGCAATATTTAGTAGCAAGGAAATTTCACGGAAAGACTTATTGCACAGATGGCAACCTATCACAGTACCACACTTGAATTCACTGAGCTCCTGAGAGCGACCCATTCTTTCACAAATGTTTGTAGAAGCAGTCTGCATGCCTAGGTGGTTGATTTTATACACCTGTGGCCATGGAGGTGATTGGAACACCTGAATCCAATGATTTGGAGGGGTGTTCCAATACTTTTGGCAATATAGTGTACCTCTCTCCAATACCTTATGTGGAGTTCAAGCTAAGCCAACCACCTCTTAATTGCTATCCACTTGCAGTATGTCAGTATTTTGATGGTTTTAACATCTTCTCTGTGCTGCAGGTCCCTGAAGTATTCCATTCTTCTCTTGTGTCAGTGCAATGGCTTTTTTCACCAGCCCATACCAGGTGGGTCAGAGGGACCTGGAAGTGGACTCTGCTTTTGACGCATTTTGATCCTATCAAGAATTCATCAGGATGTACTGATTTCTAGGATTTGCCTCCTCTTAAGTTCGATAATTCAGTTGAGGTTGCTCCCATTTCAATTGCTTAAAGCTGACTTTCTCTCTTATATAAAACTCATTTTCCCCCACCTTCTCCCCCCTCCCTTTCTCACATTTGGATATATATATATATATATATTTATTTGTTTTATATTATACTGCACTTCCATCTTTCTCGCCTAGGTGCATACGTGGACATGGAGTGTGTATGAAAGTCCCAAACCTCGCTGTATACACCTATGCACAGGAAAAACTGCATGTGCACAATGTTGTACCAGATAGACAGCCCTTTGGCATATCTGTGCAAGTACCAAAATAATAAAGATGGCAGCCCCAGATCGGGCAAAAACTAAAAGGGACTGAAGTTCCTCTTGAAGTGATGCTTTACCCTTAAAGGGAAGTTCTGCTTTAATACCTCCTTCCCCCCTCCTCTTCCACTTTTGGAGGTTTGTTTTTTTGGGGGGCGAAGAGCAGGTATCTAGTTTTAGTAAATACCACTCAGACTGCCTAGGATTTGCTACGTGTTTGTCTATTCAAACTTTAACTCCTGTTTGTTCTTTCCTATGTAGATCTTTTACCATGAGTATTTGATCATGTAAACAATGCATTGTGCAATTAATATATTTTGAATATCAAACGTGTGTATATGGTCACTGTCCCAAAAGACTTTGGTTTTCTCTACATAATTGCATACAATGGCCACACTTGCAAATTTCCTTAAAGGGGCCCAGTAAATTCCCAGGTCTGTTTGTTGGGACATATTTATTGTGATGTCCCCCAAATATTTGTTATTGCAGTGCTGATACCCCCTACAGATGTCACGTAGACTAGGACATTACTTACTTCTAGGGCAGGTGAGAAGTAGAAGACATACCTTATGATACCTTTACTTTGCTCATGGTTTGTAGTATCCAGGTGGTGTCAGCGTCTCCTTTACTTTTCCTCTTACCAGCGCTGAGACATGTAGAAGGCTTATTCCATTTGCATAGTTACATAGTTAGTCTGGTTGAAAAAAGACACAAGTCCATCTAGTCCAACCAATTTCTCTTACATATTATGAACCAGTTTATGGTATCATGAAGGCTACTTTTCATATCTATCTATCTATCTATCTATCTATCTATCTATCTATCTATCTATCTATCTATCTATCTATTCTATCTATCCAGACAGTTTTTTTGTAGGCACTGATATAAGGAAATGTATTACTGGAGGACAGCTTCCACTGAAGGGGTGGCAGATTGGGGTACTATAATGCTGATGAGAAGAGTCCCACTTTACAGGTCCAGATACTGAGATGTTTCCTGAAGACGAACATTGTGCCTGAGGTGACTCTACTCACCAGGAACCTCTCTTTGCTCTATGCACTTTCCCTAGTCAGCGGGGTCTTTATAGAAGAAAAAAGCACCCGAATGCCTGAGCTCCTGCGCTGGACAATGGACTCCACAATGTACATTTCCCTACATGTGTATGAAAGGAATGAAAGCCTTGCTGCCCTCAACAGTCCAGCGAAATCCAAAATGAACTGTATATGAAGACAAAAAAGAGGGCGCACGGGCCTAGTGCATTACCTTTAAAAATGAAATTTATTGATAAAAAGTAAAATACTCACAAGAGAAATAAAATCAAATGGAGAACATGTCACAAGAAATGCAGTGTGGTCCTGTACCCCTGAAGGTAGTCTGGTGGGGGACTGTAGACCTCTGGATAGCTGATGCTGACGCGTTTCAAGGTTGTACCTCTTCCTCAGAGCCTGTGAGTATTTTACTGTTTATCAATACATTTCATTTTTAAAGGTAATGCACTAGGTCTGTGTGCCTTCTTTTTGTCTTTTCTTATATAGCGGGGTCTCTATCCCTAACCTACCACTCGATCCAGGTGCACCCGAATGATGCAAATTACCCTATATGTAGTGTTCCTGGTGAAGATGGCTGCCTGAAGTTTCCAGAGGTTGCAGGGTCCTGATGGAGTCCACAAGGGGATAATTCCCCTAACAGACTTCTCTCCATCAGTAATAATGGCATAGTGCTACCTATAGGATGGAGGGGAAACCTGCACCTGCTTACATCTATCTATCTATCTATCTATCTATCTATCTATCTATCTATCTATCTATCTATCTATCTTTCTATCCATCCTGAGTAAATCTGTGTCTGTACCTGGTACAGTCATAAAGTGTGGAGGGGCTACAAATTGCTCTTGCACAGGGGACCTTTGGTGACTCCACTGTCTGGCATGTATCAGGGAAATATTGCTGCATTTGGGAAGTATGAGCGCACTATGGGAGCCAAATGCTTGCAGTCTAATATAGCAAAGTGTTTTTTTACTATATTTTTTCATCCTTTGAATTGTCTGCGTACACAAATGTATTACCACGTCAGACAGGCACCTTGAGAAAAAAAATCTGTACCCAAAATGTTGATTGCAGTCTTGTTTAGAGAAAATAGACTAAGTTAGTATGGATCTTCAGAGCAAGTAAATAGAAGAAAAAGCATATAAATCATCACCAGAGCACTGAGGAAACACATTTACCACAAAGGTAAATTAGGAAAATGCAGGGAGTGATTTGGAGCTACTTGCCTTCACTTAGCTACCTCTAACATGTAATTTATGGCACCTTAAGTGCTGACAGGATAAGAAAACATTTACAGCTAAATCCAAATGTTTCAACATATACTTTACATGTTGACTGATTCTGGCTGTACTTGAACTGTGTTTGAATGTGGCACAGTGCTATTTTACAGAAGTCCTACAATGAGGGAAATACATTAGCTGCCAATTTTGTCCTTCTTGTGAACATGCTCAGTGTCTGGATACCATGCTGCATGTGGTGTTCCTGCTTTTCACATTTATTAAGTCGAAAGTAAAGTGAAAACTCCTCTCCATCATACTTGTTCCAGGACAGAAAGAATTAACATCATTTGATTTGCAGCTAACATTGTCAGATAAAGGTCCTCATATAAAAAGTTTCTTTCAAGAAAATTGATGGTCAAGAAAGTAGTTTGTATACAGTGTTCTTTTATGTTCTTTTATGTATTTTTTGTGTTGTATTGAACTACAAGTTATTATTGTTTTGCAGTATGCTGACATCTAGTAGTGGTTTTGGGCCATTACAACCTGTTTACTATGTGATTAGGTTTCTCCATCTGTCCTCCCTTCCTGTTTGATGGGAGTTATTTCAGTCTTAACTAGACCCTCCCCTGTTACTAGTTTGCAGAGCCAGGGCTTAGCAAAGTCATTGTCTTCATACACTTCAAAAGACCAGAAAAACATCCTCTGCAATTAGCTGAAGTAAAATTGTGTTGGATTTAACTTCTGTGTCTTATTGAATAGTTAAGCTGCCTGTGGATGGTGCCAAGTCAGCAGGTGACTATACTGTCTGGACAGACTGGGTTTACCAGCCACCCACCCGCCATACAAGGAAATGACAGAAGTGTGGTGGTTCTCTCATTCTGGGAGGACATCATACAGTATAACGTCCTCCCACTCTAATCACCAGCGCGGCGATCGGTAGTGCGCTGTGTTTCTGGGACACAGCGGATCACCAATCAGCAAAAAGACCCAATGACTTTGGCTCTGTCATGTGATCAGCTGTGTCCAATCACAGCTGATCTCATGTAAATAAGGAAATGCCAGTTATTTGCATTTCTCTCCTCACGAGCTGTCAGCATTCCTCAGAGGGGACATCTACACTGATCAGCAGTGTCCTGATGATCAGTTTAGCCCCATCAGTGCCACCTGTCATTTTCCATCAATGTCACCTGTCAGTGCCCATCAATGCACATCAATGCCACATATCAGTGCCTACCAGTGCACTTCAATGCCACATATCAGTGCCCATCTGAGCTGCCTGTCAGCGCTACCTATCAGTGCCAGTCAGTGCCACCTATGAGTGCTGACAATCAGTGCCACCTATTAGTGCCAGTCAGTGCCTCCTATCAGTGCCCAGCAGTGCCACCTAACAGTTCCAGTCAGTGCCACCTAACAGTGCCAGTCAGTGCCACCTATCAGTGCCAGTCAGTGCTGCCTATCAATGCCACTTATCAGTGCCGCCTATCAGTGTCATACAGTTGCAAGAAAAATTATGTGAACCCCCTGGGATTACATGGAGTTTTGCATGAATTGGACATAAAATGTGCTCTGAACGTCATCTAAGTCACAACAATAGAAGAAAACAGTCTGCTGAACATAATACTACACAAACATTAGATATTGCCATGGTTTAATTGCACATAACATGTAAACATTCACAGTGCAGGGAGGAAAAAGTATGTGAACCTTTGGACTTAATAACTGGTTGACCCTCCTTTGGCAGCAATAACCTCAACCAAACGTTTCCTGTAGTTGCAGATCAGACCTGCACAACGATCTGGAGTAATTTTGGACCACTCCTCTTCACAAAACTGTTTCAGTGTAGCAATATTCTTGGGATGTCTGGTGTGAATCGCTCTCTTAAGGTCATGCCACAGCATTTCAATCGGGTTGAGGTCAGGACTCTGACTGGGCCACTCCAGAAGGCGTATTCTGTGCTATTGCAGCCATTGTTTTGTTGAATTACTTGTATGCTTTGGGTCATTGTCCTGTTGCATCACCTATCCTCTACGAGGAGCTTCAGTTGGTGGACAGATGGTCGTACGTTTTCCTGCAAAATGTCTTGATAAACTCTGGAATTCATTTTCCCATCAATGACAACAATCCGTCCAGGCCCTGAGGCAGCAAAGCAGCCCCAAACCATGATGCTCCCTCCGCCATGTTTTACAGTGGGGATGAGGTTTTGATGTTGGTGTGCTGTGCCTTTTTCTCCACACATAGTGTTGTGTGTTCTTCCCAAACAACTCAATCTTGGTTTCATCTGTCCACAGTATATTTTGCCAGTAGTGCTGTGGAACATCCAGGTGCTCTTTTGCAAACTTCAAACGTGCTGCAATATTCTTTTTGGACAGCAATGGCTTCCTCCGTGGTGTCCTCCCATGTACTCCATTCTTATTTAATGTTTTCCTTATTGTAGATGTGTCAACACAAATGTTAGCATGTGCCAGAGATTTCTGTAGGTCTTTAGCTGACACTCTGAGATTCTTCTTTACCTCATGCAGCATTCTGCACTGTGCTCTTGCAGTCATTTTTACAGGACGACCATGACTAGGGAGAGAAGCAACAGTGCTAAACTTTCTCCATTTGTAGACAGTCTGTCTTACCGTGGACACATGAACATCAAGGCTTTTGGAGATACTTTTGTAACCCTTTCCAGCTTCATGCAAGTCAATAATTCTTGATCGTAGGTCTTCTGAAAGCTCTTTTCTGTGAGGCATGGTTCACATCAGACAGTGCTTCTTGAAACCAGTAAACCCAAAACAGGTGTGTGTTTTTTTAAGGGCAGGACAGCTGTCAGCAACACATCCAATATCATCACACTGATTGGAGTCAAGGTTGGCTCACTCCTGGCTCCAATTAGCTCTGGGAGAAGTCATTAAGCTAGGGCATCACATACTTTTTCCTCCCTGCACTGTGAATGTTTACATGTTATGTGCAATTAAACCATGGCAACATCTAATGTTTGTGTAGTATTATGTTCAGCAGACTGTGTTCTTCTATTGTGACTTAGATGACGTACAGAGCACATTTTATGCCCAATTCATGCAAAACTCCATGTAATCCCAAGGGGTTCACATACGTTTTCTTGCAACTGTATATGAGTACTGCCTTTCAGTGCCCATCAGTGATGTCTGTGAATGCCCACCAGTGATGCCTGTCAATGGCCATCAGTGACACCTACCAGTGCCTCCTCATCAGTGCCCATCAGTGGAGCCTATCAATGCCCATCACTGCAACATCATTAGCACACATCAGCGAAGGAGAAAAATTACTCATTTACAAAATTTTATAACAGAAACTAAGAAAAAAAACGTTTTTTTTTTTTTTCAAAATTTTCAGTTGTTTTTGGTTTTTTTATCAAAAAATAAGAAGCCAAGAGGTGATTAAATACCAGCAAAATAAAGCTCTATCTGTCTCAAAAAAATTATAAAAATTTCATATGGGTACAGTGTTGCATGACTGAGCAATTGTTATTCAAAGTGCGGCAGCACTGAAAGCTGAAAATTGGCCTGGGCAGGAAGGGGGTGAAAGTACCTGGTAGGCAAGTGGTTAAGGAGGTATGTCAATGCATAAAGTATCATTTGAAACAAAACATACAAATGTAATACCAAGGGCTACATTTCATCATTATCTATCTATTTTGAGATTTTTTTTGTAGTCACTGATATAGGGCAATATAGCAGTTGGTATTTATACAGTGTCATGTGGCTTGGGCCTGCATTACTGGAGGACGGCTTCTAATAATATCAGAATTATTTGTATTCTATCTCACTACAGAATTTGTACAGATTATGGTATTCTTCCCCACTTGGGCTAGTACTATTAGAACTTCACTGAATGGAGCACGCAGAATAGACACTGTCATTCATGAATTTAACAGAGAATTCCATCTATTGCCTTGTTGTTTATTACTACCACATTGGCATAACTACCACGTTTTCATCTAAATTCTTACTAAGTTATATTCAATTTTGATAGGCACATAGGAACTACAAAACTCCACAGTCACGCACCCCTCAACATAACAAAGGCAAAGTAACCAGGGAGAGAAGCAAGAAGGAACAAGTGTCTTGTTTATCTTTTGTTTTGTTTGGTTGGATGGAGGTGGATGCATCAGAATCTCAGAATCATAACCTAACAAATGAACCTGAAATTAGTTTTGTTTTATTCATTATGTTTTTTTCATCCATTTTTGTATCTTCGTTTTAGACATGTATAATTCGTTTTGTTATGGATGTATCCAAAATTTCTGAATCAAAATAGTAACAAATTTCAACTAATCCAGAATAAATGATAACAAAACAAAATAATATAACGAAATGGCGAATTATCCAAATTCAAAAATGAAATAAAATTCCAAATTGAAACATATTTCAATAAAAAAGTAAGGTATAAAAGTGAAATAAGATGATGACTCTTACTTAGTCTGCTTTCACACTGCTCCATTGCAAAAGCACATGCAATTTTTCTGTGTTTTCACCACATTTTGCTGCAGTGTGTTGCGTTTTTGATGCATTTTTGTTACGTTTCTGTTGCAATTTTTCCCTGCACACATGCCTGTACAAAGCACTTCCCACAGGTGTGTTGAGTTTTTGATTATTTACTGCCGCTTTTTCTATCCATTTCAATGGAGAGGTGTGTTTTTGGTGTAGTTTTGCAAAAATGCAGCAAGCGGGACTTTTAAGGACACTTCACAATGATCAGTTTTTCAGTTTAAAAAAAAGTTGAAGAAAAATGCATGAAAAATACATCCCTTTAATATTATGGAACTCTTCACACTGGGCTGTTGCATGTCAGTTGTGTTTCTCCATTAAAAATTAATAGAAACAGCAGCAAAATGCATAAAAACGCAATACACCTGTGGGAAGTGCTTTGTCCAGTCACATATCCAGAGGGAAAACACAACACAAATACCATAAAAATGCATAAAAAAGCAATTGACCACTGCAAAAGCATATGCATTTTTGCCACATTTTAGGCACAGCAGCCTAAAAACGCAACTGAAATGCAAAGGACCAGTGTGAAAGTTCCAAAGGGATGAATATTTCATGCATTTTTGTTCTGCTTTTTTTTAAATGAAAAACTGACTAACAACTGATCAGTGTGAAAGGGCCCTTATTATGTTTGGGTTGGATGGAGGTGGATTTATCAGAATCTCAGAATCATAAGCTAACAAATGAACCTGAAATTAATTTTGTTTTATTCATTATGTTATGATTCAGAGACTCTGATGAATCCACCTCCATCCAACCCAAACAGAGTGCATAAGTATTATCTCCCAAAATAATGAATAACACATTAAAATGAATATACTGTAGCCATCTTCCGAAATTTAAATTTGAATTGATTTGAATCTGAATATACAAAACAAATCCGAATATATGAAATGAATTTCGAAAATGAATCTCCTTCAGCCATTTCCTGATTATATGGACTCACTCCAGCGCTAGCTGCCCAACTGTGCAGGTGTTCGTCTTTCTGAGCATGATCGTGCTCAGTTGTGTCCGCGCATGCGAGTTTGCGCACCTGTGGCCGCTAATGTTGGCGACTATTGGACTATTTAAACCCAGCAGTTCTGTGAACCAGTCTGGTCTGCAGCTCACCCTGTATTTCTGTGCCTGTTCCTGTATTGATACCCGTGACTTACCTGGCTTGCCCCTCGCTCCCTGAATGCTACTTGCACTGATCTCGGCTTGGTTATTGGATTCTGCCTCTGCCTTCTGTATCTGCCTGATCTGCCTTACTTCTGCTGACATTGGCCTGTGACGTGACTTCTCTTCTGCCTGTTGTCTAAGTCTGATCTGCCCACCTGTTACTGACTCGGCCCATCTGACCCTGCATCCAGCTTTGCCAGCCTGCCTGGCTGTGCCATCTGCCTGCCGCCAGCCTGCCTGCTACCAGCCTGCTCTGCTGTGTCATCTGCCTGCTACCAGCCTGCTCTGCTGTGTCATCTGCCTGCCGCCAGCCTGCCCTGCTGTGCCATATGCCTGCCACCAGCCTGCCTGCCGCCAGCCTGCCTGCTACCAGCCTGCTCTGCTGTGTCATCTGCCTGCTACCAGCCTGCCCTGCTGTGTCATCTGCCTGCTGCCAGCCTGCCCTGCTGTGCCATATGCCTGCCGCCAGCCTGCCTGCTACCAGCCTGCCCTGCTGTGCCATATGCCTGCCGCCAGCCTGACTGCTACACGCCTGCTCTGCTGTGTCATCTGCTGCTACCAGCCTGCCTGCTACCAGCCTGCCCTGCTGTGCCGTATGCCTGCTACCAGCCTGCTCTGCTTTGTCACCTGCCTGCTGCCAGCCTGCCTGCTGCCAGCCTGCCTACTACCGGCCTGCTCTACTGTGCCACCTGCTGACAACCTCCTCTGCAATGACATCTGCCTACAGCCAGCTGCTCCACTCCAGACATCCACCCATTAATGTGTCAGCAACTCCTTCGCAGACTACTGGACTGATCAGGCACTCATAAACCCCGTCATGCTCTCATGGTTGATGTTCCATCTTCAGTGACCCTTGAGCCGCAGCTGTATGAGAGGCCTTCCTCTGCAGGTCAGGCTCACTAACAAGATATGTAAGTGACATCAACATTGCTCTAGACTGGAATATTGATAGTGCCAATGGTGGACCGTGTCTGTACAATGTGTTTCAGCACAGCCACTTTAGTCTTCACCCAGAGGCACATGTGACAGGGTGATGAGACGTTTGACACCCCAAACATGAAGGGCCTGAAGAGGAACCTCCACGATTGGTAGGATCACTAAGTGTTTTGTAATCAAAATTGCAGATTTATAAAGGTTGAAAACAATTTTTTCAAATTACATTAACATGTTAAATAAATAATAATAATAACCCCTAAATAAATGAGTTTTTAATAACTAGGTTTGGATCTACTTTAAAATAGATATAAATATATGTAATATAAAGATAAGAGTTATGTGCCAGACACACATTTATGTTCTGTGACTGCCAATGGCTGCTACTATCATGACTTGTCTTATGTGATATCTAGCAATAAAAGATGCTCTAAGCCATGAAAGTCACCATTGGGCATGAAAATGTTGATAAATTGTACTGTCAGGTCTAGTGGACATCCAGGAGAGTCAATTATCTTTCCCAAACCTTTCTTAATGGATCATTTATTAGCTTTCAATTCCTAGAGGACAATCATGGCATTCCTAACAAAATGTTGTTCATATACCTTTTACTGCTAAAGGATGTGGCTGCCCATCTTCAACAGATACTCTACTCAATAACCCCACACAAAAATGTGGCTACCAACATCTACAACCTGCCTAAAACTGTGGGCTCTCAACATTTTCAGCTTGCTTAGTGAAAGTCGTCTGGATTTGTACTAACCTATAACTAATGTCCTCCAGAAAGTGATCCAACTAACCTGAGTCTTTGACATTATCAACACTGCAGACTGGTTAATACAGTTCAGACTCCTTATGGACTACTGTATATTATATCCAAACCAGGCTTCAGATGATGGGAAGACATATGCCCACATACCAGTCACCCAAAGCAAATTTGTTCCACATGTTTTGGCCTGCCCACAGATCCAGGTCTACCAAAATTCTATGCACTCCTTAATTACTGGGCTTCAATGCTCAATTCCAACTTAAAATATTGCTTCTTGGTATTGTTAGCACCTTTATTCAGGGCTCCTATGCTAGGATCTTGTTCCATGTGATCTATTTTTATACCCGCAAACCAAGTTTACGTCATGGAAGAACACACATAATCTGGACAACACACTTTTTATTAATCTGATCAAGGACACTCTGCCCAATTATACTTACATAGGTGAATGCAGCATTGCCCGATGCTGCATCTGTCCCCCGCCGGTTCTAAGTGTGAGAACTCAGTGATCATATGACCACTGATCACTGAGTTCTCACATCCACTCTGAGCAGAGAGTGGTGACTGTCAGTCACCACTCTCTGCTCTGTCCCCCCATGCTGGACTGTGGCGGGGGAGGAAAACGGCTGGCTCAGGCTCTCAGCACATCACTGAGAGGCTGAGCCAGGCGCTGCTCCAGACTCTGGTGCGGATCCCAACTTTAAAGTTAGGATCTTTCCCCAACCTGGACTGGCTGAGTGACGTCAGCCGACAGCGGGTTTCAGCCCACTGTCAGCTGAACACAGGTCACAGGAGTGCAGAATGAACTGCACTCCTGTGATTCACAGGAGAAGTACAGCCAAAGGAGCTTTGGCTGTATTTGTCCTTTAACCTCCCTAACGGTATTACCGAGTGTAGCTCGGGGTAAAATGTCTGTACCAAAAGCAGTAACCCCGAGCTACACTCGGGCTTACCATGCGGTGCTGCATAGGGAGTCCCTGCAGCACTTACCTTGTCCTTCGCTCCCGCGATGTGTCCCCTGCAGCATCCCCAGCCATCTCCTCCGTCTGATGCCGGCATCCGGCTCCTGTGTTCCGGTCCCTGTGACATCGGGACGTACGGGCGCCGCCGGCGGCGGGAAAAATTAAAAAATTTTAAAAAAATGACATTTTTTTCAAAACGATTTTACATAGTAAAACATTGCTGTTTCAACCCATTTCACATACATTTTGTCCCTAGTGCTTTGTCCTGTCCCCTGTCTGCATTTTGATTGTTCTTTCTGCCTGGAAACTTAGAAATGTCCATGGCGTCCAAAAAGTGTCCCTTTAGGTCAAAAGCGGGTTTAGATCAGCTAGAGAACAGCGATAGTAAATCAGAACCACTTGCAGAATTGAGTGATAATGATTCGTGGAGAAATTTGTCATCAAACACTGAAAACGATTCTGCGACTTTGCTCAGTGATGTGCGAACTTGGCGCTATATTTCAAATTTCAGTGTTTTTGGTTTGATTATATTATTGAATTAAATGTATGATTTAGAATCTTGTTCAGACAGATTTCAGTGAGTTATTCCTAAAAATTACAGCCTACAATAAAAAAACGACATATTTCCATGCAAAATAATTGTACCGCTTTCAGCACCAAAAATATGAAATAATCATACCGCTAGGGAGGTTAAGTTGATTTATACAGCAGATACCTATGGAGTATGTGGCTAGAGTATACAGGTGGTGGTAACATGAACTGAAATGTTCTCCCATGTATTCTGAATCAGTCAACCTATTTTGAGTCCATGGTTTCTGCTTTGTCATAAGTTCAAGTGTTAAGAGATGGGGTGATTTTATTTGTGTGCATGTGTTGTATGTATGTGTTTCTCTGTCTTTAGTTATTGCTTCTACCCAGTTAAAAGGGAACTGGTCTTATAACAACGTAGCAATGCCACAGTGTAGTATTGGAAGGTGCTGTATTTTATTATAGTAAAACATTGTAAAAAAAATCATGATTAAAAAAATGTATTGTTCAAAAACACAGAACGGTAATCTAAAAAATGTTGAAACTTCAAATTTTGCTCCTTTGCAGATATACAAGTTTTAAGGAAATAAAATGATCATATTCTTTCAAGGGGCTGTTGCTAGGAAATGCTCATAACATATTTAAACACAGGAGCAAAAATATTATAAATTACAACTTCCTTAGATCTTCTGAGTGCATTAGTTTCTTATTTTACATACCGTATTTTTCGCTCCATAAGACGCACCTGACCATAAGACGCGCCTAGGTTTTAGAGGAGAAAAACAAGAAAAAAAATATTCTGAACCAATGGACTGCAGACACAATACAGGGGATGCAGAGACTGCGGATACAGTACAGGAGATGACCAGAGACTGCAGACATGCGGACGTACTATAGGACATGACCAGAGACTGCGGACACAGTACAGGGGATGACCAGAGACTGCAGACACAGTACAGAGGATGACCAGAGACTGCGGACACAGTACAGGGGATGACCAGAGACTGCTGCAGACACAGTACAGGAGATGATCAGAGACTGCGGACATAGTACAGGAGATGACCAGAGACTGCGGACACAGTACAGGGGATGGCGAGAGACTGCAGACACAGTACAGGAGATTACCAGAGACTGCGGACATAGTACAGGGAATGACCAGAGACTGCAGACACAGTACAGATGACCAGAGACTGCAGACACAGGACAGGAGATGACCAGAGACTGTGGACATAGTACAGGGAATGACCAGAGACTGTGGACATAGTCCAGGGGATGACCAGAGACTGCGTACATAGTACACGGAATGACCAGAGACTGGACATAGTACAGATGACCAGAGACTGCAGACAGTGCAGGGGTTGACCAGAGACTGTGGACATAGTACAGATGACCAGAGACTGCAGACAGTCCAGGGGATGACCAGAGACTGCGGACACAGTACAGGGAATGACCAGAGACTGTGGACATAGTACAGATGACCAGAGACTGCAGACAGTCCAGGGGATGACCACAGACTGCGGACATAGTACAGGGAATGACCAGAGACTGTGGACATAGTACAGATGACCAGAGACTGCAGACAGTAAAGGAGATTACCAGAGACTGCGGACCTTTGGGAAGGGAGGGGGAACGGGTACCTGAATTTGACAGGTGCCCGCTCCCACTTCCGCGGAGTTGTCCTTCCTTCTTCTTCCCGCGGCGGCTTCTGTGACAGCCGGGTGCCCACTGCGCATGCACGAGAAGCGCTGTACTTTGTGAATGGCCCAGAGCCTTCTGGGACCTGTCATGTGTCCCAGAAGACACCGGACCATTCACAAAGTGCAGCACTTCTCGAGCATGCGCAGTGGGCACCCGGCTGTCACAGAAGCCGCCACGGGAAGACTGAAGCGCTGGAGCGAGGAACAGGTAAGGTCCTGCAGGAGAGAAGAGCAGAGCGTCCGGCCCGATATTCTGACATGGAGGCGGCAGAAATACCGGACTGGCCGCTTTACATTCGCTCCAAAAGACGCACTGACATTTTCCCCCCTTTTTTCGGGGGAAAAAAGTGTGTCTTATGGAGCGAAAAATACAGTAATTCTACTTTAGGTAACACCTGCAAGTCTGCACCCCATCCCCAACCTATAACCATACAGTGAAAGTAGATGCAGCAGACTAATAAGCTCATCCCTCATGTCCTTGGGCAGAGGTGTCAAATTGACAGCCCTTCAGCTGTTGTGAAACTGCAAGTCCCATCATGACTGTGCCTGTGGGGGTCATGCTTGTAACTGTCAGCCTTGCAGTGCCTTTATGGGACCGCAACAGCTGGAGGGCCACCAATTTGACACCTGTGTCCTAGGGTGACAACGATGCTTCTTTATAGGTACTGCACAGCGAGTAAGACTTGTCAACCTAGGCCAACCTAGGCCAGAAAATGTATCAGGACTACAGAAAATCTCCCATCTCCTATTCTCTACAACATAGAGGGAGGTGTTTTATGGTCCACAGAGAGGGAAAGGAACAATACTGACTGATACCTTCCTGTGGTCTTCTGCTTATCTTTGTTGTTTAGTGTTGTTTCCATCTCTTTCTGTTAACCAAACGACACATCATCTGATGCCATAAAGAAGAAGAGAGAGGAAGGTGTTCTGTAGTCCTAACACACTTTCTGTCCTAGGGTGACATATCTTGCTCACCGCACAACATCTAAAAAGAAGCAGCATTGTCACTCAAGGATATGAGAGATGAGCTTATAAGTATGGTACATGTCCTTTCACTGTGCAGTCACAGGTTGGGAGTGGGATGAGTAGGTATTACCTAAAGTAAAATTCTTGCCTCTCATTAAAAAATGTGCTGCAGTTACAGTTTTTGCTTAGTTCCCCAGCAAAGTCTCATGAATGCATGTTGATTCTGTTAGAAAAGTTCATCTAAAGCATGTTCCTGTTTTGGTGTGGCAACAATGCTGCACTGCTCTGAGCCCTTACACATTTTTTTTACTTTTTGATTCTGGAAGTTTGTGGAATTCAGAATTTTAGCTATAATTGCAAATGTATGTTAAAGCATCACTAAACCCTCCCACATTTTCACATCAGTAACAACATATAAACCCTTATCTCATGGCTTATTGCCCAGGATGAGTTTACAAAATTGTGCTCCTTGTGGTAATTATTTGATCTGACCTGTAAACCTCAGATATGCCAGACCCGAAGGTCCAGCTCAGAGGCTTGGTCAGTGCACAGACAATCACAGTCATGTTTATTGCTGGCCTCAATCTATACAGCATATCCCATGATGAGTTGCAGGTGCACTCTGCAATGTGCATGTATGCTCTCTAACATTTTCAATGCATTTCCTCTTTCCTGGAGCTGCGGTTAGTCAGCTAGGCTGTTGTCCGTGCTATTGTCAAGAAAACCAAGTTCATGCCCGTGCTCAAAAAGATGTGCATGCAAGCAAAATGGTTCACATAACTGTGCACAGAATCAGGACCATACACCCATCTGCACATTTGAATGGACTTTGGTGTCTAGTTGCCTGAAAAACTCAAGACCATTGCTGAGTGGTCGTCAGCAAATTTTGCCTGTGACCTGGTCCCATGTTTATGTCTGTGTCCTGACCTGGCTTGTTTGCCTCCACTTGCTTCTGAAACTCTGTTGCTGACTCCAGCCCATGATCCAAACTTGTCTCCAGCCTGCTGTTCTGGTACCTTCTTTGTTCGCCTGATATAGACCTTGGCTTGGCTCTGCTTGGCGCTCATTCCTGATTCTGTACCTCTGCTGCCCAGTTGTTGCCGACTACTGTCCATCTGACCATGCATCTGAGATATTACATCTGCCAGCTTGTCTGCTGTACAGTCTTCAGCTCTGCATCTACTACAAGATCTATCAGTCTAGATCCCCTACAGAAACCCATGACATTTTGTGCCCTGTTATACCCTGTCATCATCCCCAGAGGAAACAGGATAAGAGATGTATGAAAAGCCCTCTCATCAACTCGGCCTCAATCCAAGTATGTGACAGCTTTGAAGGAAACAGCTTGCTTACTAGTTGTAGGGGGTTTCTATTTATGGACACCAATACTATGTGCTGACACAGCCAGTGATGACATGTAGTATTGGAGTCCATAATATGTCAAGAATGGTGGCTACACTAGCTCTACAGATAGACCATGTAAGGCTAGTGTAGCCACCCTCAAAAAAGCAGAGCAACATCCATATGTAATAAATAATTGCTTAGATATATAGGAGTAACAATAGAAAATCACATATCTATACATGTGCATTAGAAAAGGTAGAAGAATATTATTATTTTGTATTATTTCACTTTAACTTGGGAAACCAATGAAATGGTTAAAAGCAGGTGTAAGGAATTCCGATCACAAGTTTTTCTCAACATTCCAAATAAAACGATAACATGTTGAAACATTACCATAAATCCATTCAATTCATACTACATAACTTGTGAAAGCCAATCGTGCAGGTTTAGCATCTTTTTAAATAAGGGTAAAATACATATTTAAATGTCAACACTTTTTACACGTTCAGTCTGTACGTTATTTAGAACCAATCTAAATGTATGAAAGTGCAGAGCAATGGCAATTCCCTCCTGAGAAGCGGGCGATGCAAGATGTGGAAAGGAATCATCATGCGGCTCGTGGTGCAGGCGACGCATTCCAAATAAAATTAGCATCTTGTTAAACTCATCATCAC